AAGGGCTATCGAATGCGCTTTTCCGCGGCGCTGTAGCCAAAATGTTTGTTGGTTGATTGTGAGTTGAACCATATAAAGTTTTTGTCGTAGAAAACCAATAGTTTCTGAGTTATAGGCCGCCAAACATAGGGCTGTAGCGCGACCTCCAGGAATTGCCCGAGGCTATATCTCGGAAACCGTTGTTCGAAGAAAAAACCCTTGCCACAGCTGGCTTTCCCGCCCATCACAACCCATTAGACCAATTTTAAGCAAAAAATGAAATATGAGGGTGCAGGGCACTTGTCGATTTGTCGTGGAACGCCCCTGCTGCTGGGCCGGATGACTCCGAGACTGAGAAGGCGCTGGAACTCTGCCTTGGCAGTGGCGAGTCGAGCTGGATCCAGGCGGCGTGGGCGGCAGAAGACCGGAGGGCCGGTGGTCTCGATGTGGTGTCGGACAGAGTGCTGTGGCTCCGGAGGATGTGAGGGCTGAGTGAGGCTGGGGAATTCTCGAAGGAGGTGAAGGAACGCCGGGTTATCGCTTCTGACGACGGCTGTCAGTCCGGTGGATGGCATGGGAGAGCGGGAAGCCGGTGAGGACAAGTCAGGTTGTCGACAAGGCGGCCTCTCTTGGTGTCGACCAGGAGATCAAACGAGGAGAGGAAGTCGGCCCCTAAGAGAGGATGGGAGACATCCGCGATGATGAAGATCCAGTTGAAATCTCTTCTGAGGCCGAGAGAGAGAGAGAGAGAGAGAGAGAGAGAGAGAGAGAGAGAGAGAGAGAGAGAGAGAGAGAGAGAGAGAGAGAGAGAGAGAGAGAGAGAGAGAGAGAGAGAGAGAGAGAGAGAGAGAGAGAGAGAGAGAGAGAGAGAGAGAGAGAGAGAGAGAGAGAGAGAGCGTGAGCATGCGCTGGCCGTAGGTGTGGATGCTGCTGTCGTTGGCTGCTTGCAGCTCCTTACCACTGGGTCCGCGGGCACTGTCCGCTGGAGTTGCCGGAACAACGATGTGTTCGGCTCCGGTGTCAACGAGGAAATGAAGTCCGGTGTTGTTGTCCTTTACTCTCATCAGGCTGCTGGCTGTAGCGACGTCAGAATGGAGAAGCAGGGCAGGTGCCGACGTCTTGGTCACCTGTCCTACTGCTGGTTTCCCGAGTTCTGATTTGCGGTTGCAGACCACGAGCAGGGACAGGAGCGCGCGTTGGTACCGAACTTTTGGTGGTACCAGCAGTAGGAAGTACCAACGCCGGTAGATGTGTTGGTTCCAGGGCTGGGTGACCGGGCAGTAGCAGACAGGTCACGTGGTGAACGGTGGCGAGCGCGGCCGGGGGCACGGGATGCTGATCTCTCTCGGCGGCACGTCTTGTCTACCAGAGTGGCCACAGTCGTCGTGAGGGCCGTGATACCAGTCAGCAGCTGGCTCATCAGGTCTTGGAGGTTGAAGGGTCCTGCAGAAGTAGCAGGTGAGGCAGCGGCAGGAGCGGAAGTCGAGACAGCAGCGAGGAAGCCCGAGCTTGGATTAGCGACGTCCGACTGCTGAGGTAGCTCCAGGAGCCGGTCGGCGGTGCTGGCGATGGTGGCGAGGTCCGTCCCAGGAGGCAGGCACTGGAGGAAGGGCTGAATCCGAGGCGGAAGAGCATTGAGGAAGATCTGAAGGATGAGCGGGGAATCTTGAGAGCCTTCAGCTTCAGCAAGGTCCAGGAGGTGCCGAAGGAATTTGGAAGGGCGCCTGTCGCCGAGTTGTTGACTAGAGAGCAGGCAGCGAAGACGCTGTTCGACTGATTTGCCGAACCGCTGACGGATGGCATCGGAAAGGATGGTGTATGGTCGGTCTGCTGGAGGGTTGCGACGGATATCGGTGAAGTCACGTAGGAGGTGGCCGGGAAGCAGAGTTGCAGCGATGCGGAAGCGGCTGAGCTCATCGTCGACGGCTGCCTGGGAGAAGAAGAGGTCGAACTGGACGAGCCAGATCACGGGGTCCTCCTCGAAGGAGCGCGCTGGAGCGACGTGGTTGCGCGAGACGGCTGGCATGCAGAGGTACTCCGGTTGGGCGGCAGCGGCAGCAGCAGCGACGGCGGCAGCGGCATCGGCAGTGGAGCCGGTGATGCCAGGCTGGGTCTTCCCGTCCATTGCTATGGAGAGCAGCAGTGGTCGGAAAGATCGATGGCAGCGATGGCGACACGGCGATCGTCAGGTGCTGCGGCACAGCTGGAGAGGTAGCCGGACGATCAGGCGAACCAGAGCCGTCGGTGACGCAGCTGGAGCGTACCAACCTGCATCCAGAGTCCTGTGCTTACTTCAGAACGGTGTGAGGCTGCTTAGACTGGTATGGCGCTAAAACGACCGGCTTAACCCCCTCCCCCCAACACTATTGGGTGACCTCACATGGAAAGGGGATTCTCAGATCGATTTGAAGCTCTTTTGAGACGGGTATTGTGTCTAGGAGGTGTCCTGCAAGCTGGACCCCTCTCACGAAATTATAGCCGAATTCTATCATGCTTAGCTAATCATAGCAATCTTAAACGCATTCATAGTAATAACAAAATGGTAGAATAATGACACTCACGTACATATAGATCAGCGAGTGAATTGAGCACTTCGTGTGTCACAACATTTTAACCCGCGCCGGGCCGGTGCTCTGAGATTCCGTTCCGGGCCGGGGGTGTCTGAACACCCCCCTTCTAACTCGGCTCCTGGGCTACGTAGCGACACGCGGTAAGCGGCAATCGAAGGAACGTTCAAAATAAGGACGAAAACACTTCGGTCATTTTTTGGGTCAGGTCACCAGAGGTCAACAAAGGTAAAATGTTGACTATTTCAACATTTTGGAAACTGCTGACGGCTATCTCGGGAACCAATAGAGCTACAGCGCCGCGGAAAAGCGCATTCGATAGCCCTTTTACAGACCTTTCTGAGCATTCTCTCAGATTTGACCTCAGGTCAACGGCTTAGCCTTCAGAGGGCAAAAACTCCAAAAATAGCCGTTTTTACGGAAAGTGTTTTTTCGGCAATAACTTTTGACTCAAAAGAGCCATGACATTACTTTTGCCAGCATCGTGTTTCTCTCGTCGAGACGCGTCGAATTAACTATAATTTGACCTTGAAAGGTCAACTTTAAAATTTGACCTCAGGTCAAGGTCATGACCTCACCGGGAAAGATCATGTTGCATATCAGTCGATCCGCAACGTCGAGCCGAACACATCTAAGGCGTTTTAAATGCTCTAGCACGCCTCTGTCAGACGTTATTAGCGAAAAACTGTTAGATTCTGTTCGTGACCTGAGATGACCTCGGGGACATAACGAGGGGTCACAGTTGCCATTTTCCGGTTTAGTGTGTCAATTTTACCTACATCTCGATGTTTGAGAGTGTCAAGAATAGCGCTCGTGCAAAACAGACGCTTTTCAATTTTCTCCCATTGACTTTTAATGGAGAGGCCGCAAATTGACCTGACCTTAGGTCACCGATATTAAAATTCCGATATAAACATTTTATAGATAATGTTGCTCTAATCAATCGCTGAAAGTTTCAAGGCAATCGATCAATCAGTGTAGCTATGACGAGCGTTCTTATTTTTTTCTGAGGTGAGGTCATTGGCGTGACCTGGTGACCTGACCTAAGGCGACCTGGGTCTGAAATTTTCACAACATGTGCGGAAAAGGTGCACGAACAGGTGTGCCAAAAACGGCAACGCAGGGGGAGGAGTGTACAACCCCCTCCCCGGCCCGGCGCGGGTTAAGCGTTCTCTACATTTCTCGATCTCAAATCCTTAGCTGTGCGACTGTCAACACATTCTAAATTATTCAACACTTTCTGTGAATGATTTAGTCATTCTTACGCGAAAACAAGCTTATAGGTATTTGGAATATTGGGGGGTACTGTACCCCCCAGGTAAATTATTGGGGGTCCGGACCCCCGCGTACCCCCCTGTGGCGGAGCCCCTGAACATGACATCAGTGCAATACAGTCACTCACCAAATCTTCCCCGTCAATTTGGCCACAAAATGACAAAAATGTCGACAAAAAAGGACCCAGCTCGGTGTCTCAAAACTGCGCCACGCCGTGCCGATCAGCTGTCGCCCAGCTGATCCAGCTGACCTAGTGGTGGCGGCCTTTTCGTGACACATCAGCACGCAACAACAAATACAAGCAAGCAAACTTAAATCGCATTTGCATCCAATTCGAAAAACTCGTAGAACAATTGGCTAGAGCAAATAGTTGGTTGAAGATAGTACAAAAACGGCAAGGAAATTGGGATAAGACCAAAGAGAGATTCAGCTCTGACGCACAACTGACGTAAGGCGTACTTGTGTTTCGTAGACGTCTCCATAGATGGCGCAGGTGACGAGCGCCTTAAGTTAGGCTGTCCCGCAATAACAGAACTTGTATCGCCGTCGACAGATGGCGGTAGTTGTCCACGCCCGACGCAATACTGTGTGCAGGGGTTCAGCTCTAACAATGTCCAAAATTGAATACGAGCTACGTGTAAAGGTGGCCTCTCTTTACAATCTCACGGCCGTAGGTCAACGGACGCGACCGCAATAAGCGCTACAAAGTGACTACGTCGTACACGGCGTGGGCGGCGGTGGGGTACTTTTTAGGATTTATGTTATGGATGGATTACAAGATGCTGGTGAAATGGGCCTGCGACGCCATTAGCAATGGCAGTTATGTAGTTTGTTGTGTGTTTTTCGGTCACCGTTCCGTGCTTCTATCCTCCTTCTCCTCCACGCCGCAACCCCATTCCGGGCTGGACAGGCAACTTTATCTCATGCGGGCTGCTCCCTTGGAGCGGCGACCGTGGCTGGCGACCGTGGCTGGGTGGCTCGTCCTCTGGACGGGCTTAGCCCCGGCGACTCACTAGGGTGCCTGCCCAGACCAATGTCTCCCCCTATATCCTATCATCCTCCCGGCTCTGAAATGGTCCCATTGGACCGAAAGGGCCTAACCCAACAAAACAAAGCAAAACAAAAGACAAATTTTTCGGTGACCAGACGGTCTGGCCGCTCTCTCTCTCTCTCCGGCAGAGTCGCGACAAGGCCGAGAAGGCGCACGCGCAGGCGACCGTGTTCTGTGAGCGGCTCGGCCGCTACAGGATGCCGTTCGCGTGGACAGCCATCTACCTGATGAACATTCTGGACGGCATCAGCAGCCTGGAGCGGGAGGCCGGTGACCGCGATGTCCCTGCCGCACAGACCAACAGTCTCGGTTAGTACCGCCGCTGGCCCAGGGGCCACCCGCACCAGCGGCCGCCGCTGTCGCCGCTCAATGCTCAGCCATTTATGTAGTTTTCGTTCTGCGTCCGTCTTTAGTCTGATTGAGTGCATCCTTTATTTTCAGAGCGCAAATCATCCCAGTCGAGTCTGGACCAGTTCCGTCGGTCTCGCCCGGGCGCCGGCGAGGGGGGCTCCGGACCCGGCTCCGGACCCGGCTCCGGCCTGGGCCGACGCGGCTCTCTGGAGCGGCGCAGCTTCAGCGAGCGGCGCGGCGCATCGTCGGCTCAGCTGGCTCAGAGTCTGCAGACATTTCGGCCGGTCACACTCACCGTGTCCACCTTCTTCCGACAGGTGAGCGGTGACGCCACACCAGTAGCCTCTCTCTTAAAGGGTTGGCTAGTAAAAGTAACAGTAAAAAGCACGATTTTACTGTTGACCAGTAAAATTTTGTTTCATAAAGCAAAAATTACTTTTACCTAGAGCTGCAAATTTACTATAGTTCGTTTTTTTTTTTAAGTTCGACCCTCACTGTAATCGTCTCTTTGAACACAGCACGAGATTTGCTAGCTAAATCGCTGAGAAAACTGGTTAGCGCTCATTGTATAGGAGTAATGAATGATAATTGCCAAATAACTTTCAAACGCTGATAATATGCCATTATATTAGACGCCCTGAACTTTACTGATAAGCATCTTTGCGGAATTTTGGCCGCGGCCGGCGCCGATCAGAGAGCACGCGCATTAGCCTCAGTTTCTTCGCTGCAAAACTGAGCGAAATCAGAGCCGGAAGGTCACTGACCTTTGGCAATGAATACCGGAACAGAGCATCGCCGGCCAAGAGGAGACGCAACATTTATTCTGGCAATAACTCGGCCGCTACTGGGCCGATTTTATTGAAACTTGATTTATTACGCTGCACGTAATGCTGTCCCTTTTTACGCTGCGCGTAAATTCCCTTATATAAAAATCAAAACGTCCGTATGTATGTATGTATGTATGTATGTGACGCGTCAGTCACGCTTGACGGGCTATTGCTCCGGAACGGTGCGGGCTACGGGGGTGAAATTTTGGACATAAGTCGGACGCGTGCATCTGTTTGTCGTATTAAGTTTGGTGGGGGTGGGTTCGGTGGTTTGCACGTGGCGGGCGCATCTTTGCGGGATTTTGGGCCGCGGCCGGCTTCGAGCAGAGAGCACGCGCCTCAGGCTCAGATTGTTCGCTTGCAAAACTGGGTGAAATCAGAGCCGGAAGGTCACTGACCTTTGGCAATGAATACCGGAACAGGGCACCGTCGGCCAAGAGGAGACGCCAAATTTATTCTGGCAATAACTCGGCCGCTACTGGGCCGATTTTATTGAAACTTAATTTATTACGCTGCGCGTAATGCTGGACACCTAGTCACATATATAAAAATCAAAATGTCCGTATGTATGTAACGCGTCAGTCACGCTTGGCGGGCTGTTGCTCTGGAACGGTGCGGGCTACGGGGGTGAAATTTTTGACTTAAGTCGGACGCGTGCATCTGTTTGTTGTATTAAATTTTGGAGGGGGTGCGTGCAGCGGTGTGCACGTGGCGGGCGCATCTTTGCAGCATTTTGGGCCGCGGCCGGCGCCGAGCAGACGGCACGCGCCTTAGGCTTAGTTTCTTCGCTTGCAAAACTGGGTGAAATCAGAGCCGGAAGGTCACTGACCTTTGGCAATGAATTACCGGAACAGAGCACCGCCGGCCAGGAGGAGACGCCAAATTTATTCTGGCAATAACTCGGCCGCTACTGGGCCGATTTTAATGAAAATTGATTTATTACGCTGCACGTAATGCTGTCCCTCTAGTTACATATATAAAAATCAAAATGTCTGTGCGTATGTATGTAACGCGTCAGTCACGCTTGGCGGGCTATTGCTGTGGAACTGTGCGAGCTGCGGGGGTGGAATTTTGGGCGCAAGTCAGACGCGTGCATCTGTTTGTCGTATCAACTTTTGGAGGGGGTGGGCTCGGCGGTTTGCACGTGGCGGGCGCATCTTTGCAGCATTTTGGGCCGCGGCCGGCGCCGAGCAGACGGCACGCGCCGTAGGCTCAGTTTCTTCGCTTGCAAAACTGGGTGAAATCAGAGCCGGAAGGTCACTGACCTTTGGCAATGAATACCGGAACAGAGCACCGCCGGCCAAGAGACGCCCAATTTATTCTGGCCATAACTCGGGCGCTACTGGGCCGATTTTAATGAAAATTGATTTATTACGCTGCACGTAATGCTGTCTCTCTTTACGCTGCGCGTAATGCTGTCCCTCTAGTATATAATAAAATTCAAAATTTACGTTTCTATCCTTTTTTCCAAAACTTTTTGATTTTTCGAAAAAAAAAACACGGAATACATGTGATAGAACGCATGCATATTACTTTCTCCAGCAAGTTTTAGCCAAATATCTTCAAAAATGGCCAAGTTATACGCATTATAGCAAAAAATTCACAATCATAATTTTTTTCAAATCAATTTTTTTTTAGTACGAGTTTGACATCGTCCAGCAATATAAATAGCACCATCGTGTTCCTGAGCTCAAATTGCATCCGATAGACACATTTTTGTTGAAAAATGTTAACTTTAAAATTTGAAGTTTTTTGACCTGAAAGTGGCCTGACCCAAGCTGAATTCACCTCAAAATGATCTCGAATGACACAAACAACATCGATTCGAAATTTATGGCCTAAATGGAGCATAAAAAATGTGTCACGTGACCGACGCATGGTATAATATTTCCGTGACCTGTGATGACCTGACCCTGACCTGAAAATAGAAGTACAAGTTTGGTACCCTTAGGGTATTTAAAGCATCTGTTCACGAGTGTGTAACCCAAAAATTAGCCTGATCGGACGTGTAAGCGGCGGCCAGAGCCCAAAATGAAAACAAGCCAAACATCGATAATTTTTTCTCTGACCTGACCTGAGACGTCATCGGTGACCTCGAGGTCAATGAAATTAGGTTTTGCTCGACAGTTTTTCCGGGGCTATCAGACGCCGTTTGAATTTTGACAATCGGCCCAGTAGTTTCGGAGTTAAGAGGAGGGCTATGAAGAGCCCCCCCCCCCACAGTAGGGTGCGTTATACGCAGACCCCAGTGGAGCTTGGGTTAAGGACAGACAATTTAATTGAAAAAGAACAAGACACACGGACAAGAGGACATCAATTGAATATAATAAAGAGAGACCCAGTAACCGAACCATTTCCGATGTCGGCATAGAATAAACGCAAGACCAACATCAACCTACTAGCTTGGACCTGAATCTGAGCTGAGAAAGAACAAATAATTGGTCTTGGTAGTACTAATTCATACGATGCTGAATATTTTGTGGGTGCAGTACACGGAGATGCAACTAAAAGCAAAATCGCTCATCGCCGTGCCCGCTGGCAGTTCGAGAGGTACAGTTTGAGCATTTGTCCCTCTCACAGTGCCCCAAATGTACGAAATTATGCATTTTTTCGCATTGAAAGGAAGCCTTACAACCCTTACAAGAAGAAGTCCCAGGACAAAACTACGGTCCATCGCCGACAGCAGGTGATTGATGAAGAACGCCAGCGCTGCGTTCAACCGGCTCACGTCCTGCCACAGAGAAAGAGATAAAACATAGGAGGAACTCTTTTCCAGGGAAGTCAGTGTGGCAAAAAGGCGTCAAACCTGCAATGTCCGATGGTCAAGTTGAATAAAATGCTACACTAAATCAATCCCTATGGCAAAGATAACATGAATCTGGATTGGACACGACACCACCCTGATGCAGAATGGGGCCGAAATTTTCGGAATGGGGAATCGACTGCTTTTCTGTGGTGAAAACTATCCTGTTTGGGCTGCCACCTGAATGGTAATATCTTTATTTCGACGTTTTGATTTTTTTGCTCACATTTCTTGAAAAATAAATGAAAAAACGTGTTTTATTAGAACCGTATATTGCAGCATTCACAAGTGGTTCATCAGTTATGCAATGGTTACATCTTACAAGACGTCACAACGAGTGGAGATAGAGCGAAATACGCAGACACGGATAAAACATAATGACTAATGAGCATGTTCGCCTCACGCCTGAAAGGGTACGCTCGTCGTTTTCCGCCCCCTCCGAAACTGTGACACGTCGAGTACGTGCTTAGCAGCGCCGGGCAACGCAGTCGGACTTGAATCCTCCCGACCGACGGGGCCGGACGCTGCTCTGCAGTGACGGTCGCTGCACTGCTCGCACTCCACCATTGACCGGTTCGGAGTTGGTGGACGTCAACCGCAGGAACCGTCCTGTCGCCATCAGTGATAGCTGGTGGTAGCAGTGATCCCATTAGCTGTCTGTGCCTTCCGGCCAGCAATGCCTGGATGGTGCGGGCCCTCGTGGGCGGCTGCGTCTCCGTGGGCCGTCTAGAGGTCCACCAGGACTCGATTCTGGTCGACATCTCTCGTTTTCCTGGCAATGACATCGACTCTCACATCGCACTCCAGGCCGCGGCGCGAGGGCACCCATGGACAGTCCTCGGAGAATCCTTCAGCTCAGCAGGGAGCTCTGGACGGCTGAGCTGTTGCGGAGAGAGGCGGCGAAGGCGGATTGGGAGTCGTTTAGGCAGAAGGCTGTTTAGAGAACAGTTTGGCAGAAGGCTGTTTAGAGAACAGACATTCCACAGACACGCAAAACAGATCGATTTGTAAAGCAAACAAGTCCTAAAAGTCAAATGAAGTTGGTGAGGCAAAATGGCAAATTGGTGGGGCAGCCGCTCCACTGACTGTAGACACAGAAGGCTCCACCCCTGAGACAGAAATAAAAAAGATAGATAGATAGAGAGAGAGAGAGAGAGAGAGAGAGAGAGAGAGAGAGAGAGAGAGAGAGAGAGAGAGAGAGAGAGAGAGAGAGAGAGAGAGAGAGAGAGAGAGAGAGAGAGAGAGAGAGAGAGAGAGAGAGAGAGAGAGAGAGAGAGAGAGAGAGAGAGAGAGAGAGAGAGAGAGAGAGAGAGAGAGAGAGAGAGAGAGAGAGAGGAGAGAGAGAGAGAGAGAGAGAGAGAGAGAGAGAGAGAGAGAGAGAGAGAGAGAGAGAGAGAGAGAGAGAGAGAGAGAGAGAGAGAGAGAGAGAGAGAGAGAGGAGAGAGAGAGAGAGAGAGAGAGAGAGAGAGAGAGAGAGAGAGAGAGAGAGAGAGGAGAGAGAGAGAGAGAGAGAGAGAGAGAGAGAGAGAGAGAGAGAGAGAGAGAGAGAGAGGAGAGAGAGAGAGAGAGAGAGAGAGAGAGAGAGAGAGAGAGAGAGAGAGAGAGAGAGAGAGAGAGAGAGAGAGAGAGAGAGAGAGAGAGAGAGAGAGAGAGAGAGAGAGAGAGAGAGAGAGAGAGAGAGAGAGAG